ATCCGAACCGGCGAACCCCAGGCCACTGCAGCGGAGCACATGCACCCAACCGTTTGTGCCACCCAGTTGGCCCCTTCCTTTACTTTTTAAAAAATTATCCGTTCATGTTGATACATACAGATCTAGTTCACTATTCCTGTAGTAATACTAAAATTTTTTTATCCATTTCCCCACTGATGCATATGTATGTTTTTTTTTTAGATTCTAGCTATTAATAATAAAAGATGATGCAATTGAACATGCTTATATTTTCTCCTTGTATATATAGGCAAAAATTTCTCTAGAATAAATACATTGACCAGAATTTTGAACTATCCTGAATACTGCCAAGTTGCTCTCCAGTGCTTTACCCAATAATACTCACTCAGCAGTGTGAGAGTTCCTCATTCCCCTCAAAACACTCAGCAGTGTGAGAGTTCCTCATTCCCCTCAAAACACTCAGCAGTGTATGAGAATTCCTAGGTCCCCAAAACACTTAGATTTAAGCCTTTCTTTTTCTCTTTCTTTCTTTCCCTTCCTCTCTTCCTCCCTTCCTCCCTTTCTTCCTTCCTTCCCTCCTTCCTTCTCTCCCTCCCTCCCTCCTTTCTCTCTCTCTCTCTCTTTCCTTCCTTCCTTCCTTCTTTCTTTCTTTCTTTTTCTTTTTCTCTCTCTCTCTCTCTCCTTCTCCTCTCTCCTCCCCCCCCCCGCACTTCCTTTCTTCCATTTTTCCTAACATCTTTATTTTCCAGGGAAGCATATGATAGTGGTCTTACGTAAGGGGAACATTTTTCTTTTTTCCAGGAACAATCCTACTGAGATTTCTCGCATATGCTCCTTAGGTGAGAGGTTTGATATTACAGAATATACATTTCCTTTTTATCTCTCAGTGAAATAATGGAAATCATAGAACTCCCTTAGTAGTCCCCTTTTAGTGCTCTGTCTTCAGTGACAAATGTGACGTTAATAGTTGGCAAAGAGAAAAATGGCTAATGGAACAAGACAAGCCTCACCTCTGATGTAGGTGGAGCTGAAGCGCGTGTAACTGAGCACCCCCTTAGAGCTCTGCAGAAGAGCCACGTGTTTGTGGAAAGTGATCTTTGAGCACCTAACAGATCACATTTGCTCTGTTACTTGCCATGATTGTTCATGCTTCTCACAATCCCTCCAAAATCAGGAATCATCCTTCTCAGAAAAACATCAGAACTTCCACATGGAGCTGTTAGGTGTGTTATTTTTTTCCCCTCCGAATAATGGAATTAATGACAAATTCATTTCAAAAGTAAAAAATAAAAAACAAAACAAAAAATCCTTTATGTTTACCTGCTTATCTGGCACTAAGGGCTTTAGGAAGCAGGTTGGACTGACTGGTTAAAACATTCCTTAAAGATAAATCATTCTACGTCTTTGATATAAAAAAAAAATATTGCAAGTCACATCAATTAAAAACACAATAAATATCAAAATTAAAGAGAAACTAAAACACACAAATATATTGATATTTTCTGGTCTCTTCCTGGCAAAGTGCCACTGTCCCCTTTGTTGAAGGGTTTGCTGTAGCTGATGGATAGTAAGATATTTCCAGATGGTTGTCTATGCTGCTAGAATTCCTGAAAACACTGTTGTAAAGAACTACGGAATACCTGAAATATGTGTTCTTCACTTATCCAGTTCTTCTCACCTCCAGAGTACTAGTTTCCATGAGTCCAGACCTCGGCACTTCACCCTACCCAGTAAACCCATGTCCAGTTATGGTTTAGTGCAGTCCGCCTTCCGGCTCTGCCTATATTTCTGCCCTGATGGAAACCCTGTACCCTCCTAACTGTTCAGCTGAGGCAGTTCTGTCATTTGCTTTGATAATCAACATGCTTTGTTTATTTCATGTTTTTATTTTACACACTCAGGGAACACAGAAAACTAAGCAAAATATTGAAGAAAACAGAGTTCTGCCACTGCAAATTCCCAATACAATTTGCCATATCCACAGATTATCACCTGACTTCTGTTAAAAGATCATTTTCAAAAAGGTGCAATCATCACTCTCATACAAATATAAAATAAACATGTGACCAAAATTTTATTTAACTCATTAGTTAGTAAGGGGACAGTAATATGTTAAAACTGGTTCAAAGAAAAATCTCAAGAGTAGGTGTATTTATATAGGTAATCAGGAATGTTGACCCAATTTTGCTAATAGATGCAAAATATAGACTAATAGCCTATAGAGCACTAAAATGTAATGTTTAGGGTAATCATTTCTACAGGTTGGAAATCAATGGGATCTCAACGGGAGAAAATTAGTTTGTATTTCTATGGACAAGAATCATTTGCATTACTGTCAGTTTCTACATCTTTCAGAATTATAAAATAGCCAGTCAAAGATAGTCAAAGGTATAGACCCCTATAGATTCAGCTCCTCACCAAGGGTGTGCTAGTCAACTCAACATTCTGTTGACATGACACCCAGTCATCTTTTCTCACTCTAAAGTCTTTCACTGTGTTTCTTGACTATTCTATTTTCAATGGAAGTAATATCCATTGGTTAGGAACAAAATTGAGACTCCATGAAGAAAATTCAAACTATTGGTTTAATAAATATCTTTGCTATATTATAGATATATGCATATATTAAATTACAATTAATTGCACAAAACTAGATATTCAGAATCGCGCACATTTAGATTATCTTTATAGATGTTAGATTATGGGTCTCTGTTACTGTTGCTTGCACTCCAATCAGACAGTCTCAACGGGGGCTTCCCATCCCTTAACAGTCGTTATCCATACACGAAGTGACCTTTTGGTTCAGAGGAACCATGAGAAGTAGCCAGAATACATGCTGTAAAAGTCTAGTAGTAACATTGGTGTCATGAAAGTCTTCAAAACGGAGAAATGACAAATGATTATGTAGCTTTAAAAATGTTTCCAATCCAAGCAAAACGCAGAAGCTAATTTCTGTGTCATAACAGCAGCACTGTGGCATGTCCCTTGACCCTCTTCTACATTTTGATTTTCAGAAAACACGGATTTGATTTATCAAGGAGCATAGGAAAGGCCTGGGGGAGTCAGGCTTCTAGACTCTGCTAGAAGAAACCTCTTCTAGAAGAAATGCAGCCCTGGATAGTCATCTTCCTTCCATCTCCCACCCCGCTGTTTTCTAACGTTGCTGGATCCTTGCACTTCTTCCCACCTCTCCCTCCTGTCTTTACCTCCCCTTCCTTTCCCCGTCCCACATCCCTACCTCCTCTTTCCTTCCCATTCTCCCTTTTGGCATGCCTCACTTTCTCCCCTCTCTCTTCTCACCTCCAACAGCTTTTTCCTTCACCCTTACGAACTTCAGTCCTCCTTCCTGTGGGCATGTCTAAAGCTTCATTTTCTGAGTAGAGGTCATTTCCTACTCATAGTATAGTCCCTATGAGGACACGGACATACAGCAGGTGACAAACTGTGGCATTTCAGTAAATATTAAAAATCAGCATGGCAATATCGCCTGTGAAATTACTCTACTTTGTCTGCCAGAGTTTAAACTGTAAAACCATAACAACAATCTTATGTTTTCCTCTGGGTCATTTGTTTTCCTTTTTCCAAAAAGGGGAATAACTGTAATTAATAATGCTCCTGCCGCTAACACTAAACTTACACAAATCACACCCTTCTGGGTCTTAGGTCTAGGAGTGTAACGCTGAAACAGACACCGTCCATGACTTTACAGAGTTTATAGCAGGAGACAGGGGAGAAGTGGGAAGGTCTTCACTGCTTTGAGTTATGAGTGTTACCAGAGAGATAAGCATGGTTTGCTAAGGAAGAACACCTACAGGAGCCCAGGAATCAGAAAAATGTTTTCTGGAAGATGTGAGATTCAAAGGATTAGGGGTTGGAAGGAGAGGATGGGTGGAGGCGGGTTTTGAGGTAAGGCGGGAGAGGTTAGCCAGTGCCAGGACCTGAAGGTTGCTGTAAGCCACGTTAAAGTGTTTGTCCTTTATTCTTAGGTGATTGGGAGATTTTAAGCGTGAGAATCATATCATGAAGACCGCATTTGAGAGAGATTGCTCTGACTGCGGGAGGTGAATGGACTAGAGGTGAGCTGAAGATCAGCAAGGAGACCACTGGGGTGATTTTACCTCAGTGATGTGTTTGTGGTTTCTGCCTGCTTACACACACAGTCCAGCATTTCCCCCTTTGCCCCAGCTTCTGAGTGCACTGCTGTTCAAGGGTTGACTGTCATCCCACACAACAAAATGGCCATAGTCCAAACCTCTTGATAACTCAGCTGATTAAAACCAACACACTCATCACTCCAACCCTTTTCCTCTAGCAGGGACCGGCTCCACGGATGTACAGCATGCACAGTTTCATCGAGTCCCGTACTCAGAAGGGCCCCCACACTTGGTTTAATGTTCTGCTGTCACCGTCTTGAAATCCTTAATCTTTGAATGAGTGGTCTCACATTTTCATTTTGCACTGAGACCCACAAATTATGTAGAGGGTCTTGATTCCAGCAATCTGTGGATGGTAGCCTTCAGATAATTCTTTAAAACCTCAGGCAAATGGCCTGAGGAATTTAAGAGTTGTTCCAAGATTAGATACAGAATGTCATCAGTGTTTTCAAAGACAGAGCCAAGAGGGTCTTTTCCTAAGCTGGTGAACAGACTCTCCTCAGGTGTGTTTTGACCTGCCTGTCACGAGTGGCTCTGTAACAAGACATCTGGACTGTGGCCAGAAAATGCTTCAGGTCAGTGGAAGAGGGTGAGGGCATTCTTGACTTTTGCAGAATTAAACACTTGGAGAAACTTCAGGAAGAAAGCACTTGATAGCAGGCAAAGCTAGCTGGCCCATCAGCTCCCAGCCTGCTGCCCTGTTCATACTCATTTTCATGGTGCTTAACGTGTTTATTCTCTTCTTTCCAATGGCCAAAGGACAAGTTTAAATTTCTTATTTCCTCTAGGGAGCCTGCAGAGAGGCAACAGGCACCAAATACAGGAAATCATGTGGAGAGGATCTCTTATTTATTACGGTTCCCATATTACTTCCCTTCCTCCAGCCTCCGCCCCCACCTCCAGCCACCCTTGTCTCCCAGCTTTTTCCTGCAGCAGAGAACAGAAGGCAGTTCACCTCTGCTCCCAAAGGTCTGTGTGAGCCCTGAGGAACTGAAGTCTGGTCTTGTGAAACCCCACCCTCCTGTGGCTGTGTGATTGAATGGGAAGTCCCTAAATTACATCTCACATAAGAGGTTCTTGGGAAGATCTCCCGTACAGGGTTAAACTTCAGGAACCTACAAACCACAGAAGAGAAAGGTAGGTCCTTGCATGATTTTGTTTTGTCTCGTGGAATGTGAATCCAGCTACTCTGAAGTAGATGTGTGTGTCCATGCGGCTTTTCTAGTTGGTTGCATGTTTTCAATCTGTGTCCTGTTGAGATTTACTGATTTATAGGACTGTGAGGAAAGGTAGTGAGAGGGGAGATGACATTTGAATTTTTTGAATTTGTACATCTTTGGATCAAGAATGCCAACTAGCATAGGACATAGAACATGAGCTGATTCTTATTCTTTTTGGACGGAAAATCTCATAAGAAGTTGCAGCTTTTGCTTCTGCAGAAGGGAAAATTTACCACCTGTCATTTCTTTTCAACAATGTAGACCCCCACCATGAGTTATTTATTTATTTTTACTCCTTTCTGAGTTTTTCCTTTCAGTTAAAGATGTACCAGAGTTGACAGAGGATTTTCTAACAGGAATAGAAATAGGTGTTTCTAATATAGGGTACTTATGAGTTTTAAGTAAATGAACAAGCACTTTGTTCAGGATCTGGTTGACTTCCATGCTATTTTCCAGAATTTTCTATGAAACAATTCCCCCTTCGTGAAGTTTCCTGAAATTAGATGCAAGTAGTGACAACGTATGTCAAGTGATGGCTGAGAAGGCTGATTTTGTTTATTCTGTTGTGATAATTGTCTGCCGGGATGATGATCATTCCTTAGCAAGCTGCTCTTTTTGGTCACTATTGGGGCTCAAGATGATGTGTTGACTGAGACCAGGAGATGGGTCAAGCCTTGTTCAAATAATACTACATATGTCTCTGATTTTTTTTTTTTTTTTTGCCTCTTATGTTGTTATCGTTTCATTTTGTCCTTACAACCAGCCTCTCTTCTGTGAGAAATAGTTTATAATGACGTCATAGTACATCAGCCAATTTACACCCATTTATTGAACATTGACTATTCTTCCTTGGCTTATTTAGTTCAGATTCTCAAAACTTCTTGCAACTTATGTATTTTACCTCAGCACAGTCTCCTTCCATTCCATCCTCCACATCCTGCTATACGGTTCTTGGGAATATGTAATTCTGATAATGTCACTCTTTTCAGTGAAATAGTTCCATTGTGCCCCATTGCTTACAGCCTTGCTACCTAAAGGGTAGTCTGGGAATCAGCTGCATCAGGCTTTTTGGCGCTTGTTAGAGAAGCAAATCTAACTTGACAGCTTGTTAGAGTAGCAAGTTCTCCATCCCCTTCCCAGACTTACTGAACCTCCATTTTAAGCAGGTCTTTGGGTGATCCATGCACATTAAAGAGAAGCCCTGACTTTAAAGCAGGGTAGACAAGACCTTTAAGGTCTGCTCCTTATCATCCTGTTCATCCTCACCTCTCACCACCTGACTTTCCAGCTGTACTAAATACCCTCCATTTCTCCAATACACAAGAGCCCTGATGCCTACCTATGTCTCTATATGCTGTTCCTCCTGTCCGGGATACCTCCATTCATCTTCTCCATCCAACTACCATTACAGCCTGATTTGTTTTCCCTCTTTCCCCCTCAATCCATCTCAGACTAAGTGCCCCTCAGGTCTGTGATTTTATGGCACTTGGTGAAATGCTTCTGTTCCAGCCCTTAGTACCTTAAATGATGGTTGCTATGTTTATTTTCACCCTTGGGGAGTTATCGGTCTTTGATTTCTGAATCCATAGCCCTTGAAACAATGTCGGCAGTGTAGCTTGTGCTCAATAAATATTTATTGAATTCAAGAAAGAACGGATGGATGAATGAATGCATATATTGTCTGAAAAACCCAAATTAATTACCAGATTGAGATCTATAGTTTGAAGTTTTCCCAGGAGATTGCCAATCCCTATACATGTCTCACACTCTCCTTTATGAGACTTTGTTGGATTCATTTTTTCACCAAATATTTTGAATACCTGTTCTGTGACATAGATTTAGAATCTATTTCTTTATGTCTATGTGGATAGGCTCTCCCACTGTGTGTTTCTCTGTCAGTGCCCCTCATTCTCCACCACTCCAAGTCAGAGGCCTTCTCATTTTTCAGCAAATATATACTGAGCACCTTCCACATGCCAGGCACTGTGCTCTGTGCTGGGGATATGAAGGCAAATGACATAGGTGTGAGTACGTCCCCCCAGGCACCTTCCATATAGGAGATGTACTCTTTTTTTTTTTTTTTGTGAGGAAGATCAGCCCTGAGCTAACATCCATGCTAATCCTCCTCTTTTTGCTGAGGAAGACAGGCTCTGAGCTAACATCTATTGCCAATCCTCCTCCCTTTTTTCCTCAAAGCCCCAGTAGATAGTTGCATGTCATAGTTGCACATCCTTCTAGTTGCTGTATGTGGGACATGAAGCAGTGCGTCGGTGAGCACCCGGGATCCGAACTCGGGCTGCCAGTAGTGGAGAGCACGCACTTAACTGCTAAGCCACTGGGCCGGCCCGGAGGTGTACTCTTTATCATCCTCTATCCTGCTTCTCCCTAAAAAGAATTAAGGAAAAATGAAAGGAGTCTAATCTCTAATAAATGTTGGCACATACAAGCTTGAAGGCAGTGTGATTTAGCAGAATGCAAGCTGGGCTGTGCTTTGGGGCCTGGATTGAGTCCTGCACCTGCAAATCACTTGCCATGTGAACTTGGGTGAATCCACATCCATTCTCTGAACCCTGATTTTCTCAAGTGGTGAACAAGACAGAGAGCCACAAGGAAGAGAAGCACCTGCCTTCATGAATGCACGATAGGAGTGCATGTCTTCATGAGAAGACGATATCCAGTGAGCCTCTGCACTCCCCTTCTCTCACACTGTATGGTTATCTGAAGGGCAATGCTCTGCAGTTCTGAGTCAAACTGGCAAAGAAGAGATCTTCAGGGAGTCATTTCATTACTATGCCCCTGTGCTCAGCTGTACACATTAAGGTTGTCCTTGGGTACCTTCCATCGAGCACAGAGTGGCAATGGCTTCTAGGGAGCAGGGCCCTGCAGCTTAGAGGAATCCATTTGGCATTAGTTGTTGGGTGTGGAGCTGGTTTGCTGAAGAGGGAGGCAGTGTCATACTCAGGCAATCTCTGCTTTTGGAAAGCAGCCAGGAGATGGGAAGGAAGGAGCTCTACCAAGTGGTGCAGGAAAACTCTAGAAGCCTGTAGACATATAGCCAGCCATTACACTGACCCTCACCATGGCATGGCTACAAGGACTCTCTCTCTGACTACATATGGGCTTTTTCTTTTCCTACCTAAAGATTTGTGACTTAGCCAGATTTCACCTAGAATATATGTTAGGGAAGGGCATAGTACCATTGTCCCCAAGCTTTTCATGGGGTGTATGGACAGCTGGGGAAAAACAAATACTTTCTATTTGTTCTTCAGACACAACCGCCAGACTCAGTCTGAAGCAAACTGTTTAAGCTCTCTCACGCAAACACTGTTTCCCTCTCTGAACCCTCTTGTCTTGCTCCCTTATCATCTGAAGCTTTCAAATGAGATGCCTCCTGGACCTCCCTAATTCCTGCTTGCTTCCTGTTGCTCATGCATCTCTTTGACTCCATTCTTCCTGCACGCCAGCCTTGTCTACAGTGGCCTTTCAGCAGCCGAAGTGTTTTCTACTGGTCATTTCCTAACCTCTCAAATTAACATTAATTTCTATTAGTAAGCATAAGTTGTAGCAACAAAAGGGATGTTGACCTGCATGGGATGTTTCTAGCAGCCTGCCATAGGTCTCAGAATGTATCTGAGATCAAAATCTGGTTCCACATTTCTTTTTTAATCAGAGGCATGTGGTGGGCTAGAAAGAGGCAGACCTGGTTCTGAATCCCCTACCTGCCTCTTCCTTTAATAAGTAGTTGTATCTTGTTGTGTCTTGCCGAGTCTTTGTTCTGGTTCTGAAAATGCAGATACTATTTAGCACACAAGGTTGTAGAGAAGGTTAATTAGCTAAAGTACCTAATATGTTGCCTCGAGAAATACATCCGATCTTAAAAGAGGAGGCTGGCCAAAATGGTGAAAATGAGAAAATTGTCTTTTGCAGAATATTTGAAGTAAAAAGTCAGTCCTGCAGCATGTAAAGGCTGCCTTCAAATATTTAAAGATTGCTCTATGTGCAAAAAGAGGTCACCAGAGGACCAATGAGTGGAAATTATAGGGTAACAGGTTTTAGCTCAATGTGTGGAAGGATTTACCCCATCAGAATTGTCTAAAACTGGGTGAGCTGCCTTGTCCCTTGTGGTGAACACCCTGTCCCGGGCAGTGTGCCAGCACCCTGGAAGACGATGGCCAAGGTGTTCCCAAAGGGATGCCTGCACTGGGTGGGGTCCGGGTGATGACCTCAAGGTCCTTCCCGCTCAAAGCTACCAAAAGCCTTGTGATCTCAGGGCCCCAACTCAAGGCACCAAACGAAAGTCTGCAAAAAAAAATCACCAGAGAGTTATCGTAGCTGCCTTTTCACTAGCAAGCCCTACCTATTTGCTGAGATCATTTGAAAATAGGGTCTTTGCAACAATAGAGTTAGATTGGACTTTCAGGAAAAAGCAAAAAAGAAATGAGAACAATGAGATGGGAAAATTCACTCCAAATCGCTCTTCTTGGGTAACTCTCTAACTAGATTGAAGGTTACTTCTTGTGCTGAAAACACATTCCCATTTGATGGAAAATTGCCGCATTATGGTACATTTTCAGTCAAACCAGGGTCAGGCAAGTAACAGCAAGACTCAGAGCTTTTTCCTGATTTCTGCTCTGTGTGTAAAACGGAAACACTACTCTGTGGATATGTATTCTTAGCCAGTCAGAAATCTAATTTTAAAAAGTGCACGGCTCTACCATCCTCTAAATTGGGGGACGATGAGTGGGATATTTGACTTTTGGGGAGAGAAGGGAGCTGGCTGGAGCTGTCTGCCTGCTCTGAGTCAAGTTCATTGTCATTGTTTTCCACCCACCTTCCCTTTACAGCTAAAGGAGCCACATGAATAACAGCCTCTCTGCCAGCTAAGGACCTGGAGGTTTTTAGAGAAGAGATAATAGC